AAAAACCAAAAAAAAAAAAAAAAAAAAAAAAAAAGCCCCAGATGGGGAAACGTCCCCCAGCTTTCATCCCCCCACCTTCCCCTTGCTGCCCCAGTGTGGGGAAGGGACACAGGATGTCCAGGAGAGGAAGGGGCAGGCTGTGCCCCCAGGGCTGCCCTCACCATCAGGCTGTCAGGCACAAGGGGACAGTCACGTAGCTCATCACTGCTGGGGAGCCTGAAGTCCTCTCTCGGGTGGCTCCTCAACAGTCACCTCCAGTGACTGACTTTCTTTGGCCACTTGCCTTTGGAACAAGCCCCCCATGCCCCAGAGAGGAGGCAGCAGCCCTCAGACCATAAGGGGGGCTCTGCTAGCATCCCCCCTATGCTCCCCAGCACACAAGCTGCTCTGTTATAAAAGCTCCTGAGAGTCACACACAGAGCTGAGCCAAATGCTGCAGCACTGCCACGCAGACAGTGCTTGTCCTACACTAACTAAGCACTCTCCTCCCATCCCCGAGAGCAGGGGGGTGTTGCCTCCCCTGGTGTGGTTCCATTAGGAGTCATTGGGGAGCCCAAAGAGCTTGACGGTGCCAGCCTCACGGCTGCTGTCGTATTTGCCATCCTTGTCGTCGCAGGCGAAGGCCAGGAGCGGCCGCTTCGGGTGCCAGGCCACTGTGAAGGTGGGGGACTCGCACTGCACCTCCCAGAGCTTCTCTCCTGCATGGAAAAGGGGCCACGTCAGCCTGGAGAGAGCACGGCCCCCCCGCTGCACGCTGCCCCATAGTGCACACAGGAGCCAAGCAGCTGCTGCTTCTCTCCCGAGAAGGGCAGGGGAGGAACAAACGCTGCTTCAGCGCCTTTTAATCGCCTGGTGACAAGGCAGAGACATGACACGCATGTCTGCCACAGACTAACAAGGCAGAGGCTCCCCCTCACGGCTGCACACCAAACTCCTCCTTAGCAGAGCAATACTCCCAGTGCTTTCTCAGTTCCACCAACACTTACTTCTCCAACCAATTCCCTCCTTGCTGTTCCCCAAAAGCAAAACCGTTACCTGTCTCCACCTCTGCGATGTCAATGAAGTGATCTTCTGATGCTGATGCCAGCATCTTCCCATCGTGGCTAAAGCTCAGCGTTCGCACAGGCCAGTCAAGCCTGCAGCAAGAGAGCAAAGGGGACAGTGAGCATTCCCCACATGGTCACCAGAGAGGGGATGCAGCAGACTCTGCACTACCTACCTCGAGAAGCACCTGACACACACCAGTTCATCCACATCCCAGAGGCTGACCAATGCATCAGCACTGCCTGTAGCAAAGTACTTCCCCATGGGATCAAACTTGATGCAGATGCAGTTTGAAGGGTGAGCGTTGATGGACTGAATGGGTTTCAGCTCCGGGTAACTGGGGAGATGAAGGGAGAGGGCAGAAAGCATGAGAGGACCATAGGGCTTGTTTAAAAACAGGGCAAGTGGGACTGGGACTGTGAATAAACCAATGTGGTACAGAGCCACACTCTTGGAAACCCTGAGTGCTGAGTGAATGAGTCAAAGCATCAGGGTCACTCTTGGGATGCCCAGCCCAGAACTGGGGCAACCTCAGCTCCAAGCAACTTTCTTCCCACCAGAGGGCTGGAAATCACTGGTGTCTGGGACATGGGTTCCCCAAAAGCAGCAAAGAGGTTTGCAGACTGGTATCTGCCATGGCCAGCCTATGCACCTACCACCATGGATGCCTACCTGAGGATGTTGATACAGCCATTCCCATTAGTGAGGAAGAACATGTTGTTATCGTTGTTCCAGGAGATCTCATTCACCTCAAACTTGAACTGTTCCTCAGCTTTGGAGCGATGTGTCTTGGCATCAATGAAAGTGACCACATCATCCTTGTTCCCCACTGCAATGGTCTGTCCATCAGGGCTCCAACAGATGTTGATGTTCTCCCCTGGAGGGACAGAAGGATAGCAGGTCCCACTTCCACCCGACAATCCACAATAGCCACAAGCTAAGCAAACAGGTGGCTTTTATTCCTGATGCAAGGCCACAATCTGCTCCACTAATTCCAAACCATTTCCAAATGGGAAAGACTGCCAGGCATGTAGTGTAACACACAAACCTTACAGGGTAGCTGTTCAGCAAGTATGTACAGTTATTGAAAACTAAACAGAACCACAGCTTCAAGAAAACATGACTACATCACTGCCCTTGCCATTTCAGAGAGGACCACAGCAACCACCAAACAAGGTCAGCTCAAAGATCATTCTAACCCAGAAAAAACACAAGCCAACAATAAATACATATGAACAACAGTAAGAATGAGGCAGGTTTCTGTTTGCCGTGTTGCAACACCGTTTCCAGTCCCAAAACCTCAAAATTGGAGATTTCCAAAAGCAGAGATGGTATCTGGATTAACCAGCCCATGAATTCAAATAATCACTTTCTGAATCCACGCTTTTACTCCTACCATGGCTCTCCACAACTTTCCCTAGTCTCCAGCCTTGCAGCCCACACACTCCAGACACAAGTAGAAAGGACATTTTAGCAGCCAGCATCATATTCCAGTAATTTCTCCAGTCCTGACACCAGAGTAAATCAGCCCTCACGTTCACTGCTGCTCCTTGCAGATGCACACAACACAAGGATAAAAGCAGCCAGCAAAGATGCCCTGATCGCCAACTCCTACAAGAAGGATCCAAAGCACTGTGCCACAGCAGATGGGTCCCACACGGCTGAGGTCCTGCTGGGACCCAGGAGCCCGCCCTGCAAGGCAGGGACTCACCTTTGGTATTGACGGTGGCGATGCACTTGGTGGTGCGGACGTCCCAGATGCGGATGGTTTTGTCCCCGGACGCCGTGACGAAGAGGTCAGGGTTGCTGGGGTGCCAGCAGAGCTGATCCACGCTGTCCCCGTGGCCGCGGTAGTTGTTCTCCTTCACCTGAAGGCAAGGGACAGCCATTCACGGGTGGGACGAGCCCGGCTCTGCCCCAGCTCCCAGGGCGCTGCTCTGGTGCCGTTACCGGACGGGACGGGAGCCCGGGAGCCCAGCCCAGCACC